GGACTGCAAACTAATACAACCCTTTTGGAAGGAAGTATGGAAAATCCTCAAAGAACTCAAATTAGTCTCTCCATAAAACGGAAGAGGAATTGTCTATGAAAGGAAATGAAGTGGGGCAGTGCCTGTGGCTCAAGGAGTTGGGTGCCGGCCCCATATACTGGAGGTGGTGGGTTCAAAGTCAGCCCCAGCCAAAAACTGGAAAAAAAAAAAAAAAAGTGAATGAAGTAACCACCCAATGAACCCAGAAAACGTGACATTTTGTACAATTATATTTTTAGGAGAATCTAGAATAGGGACACTTATAGGGAAAAAAAAAAGTTGATTAGTGATTGATTAGGGTGCAAGGTGACAGAGGAATAGCAGAGTGAAGGATTTTTTTTCCATAAGGTGATGAAAATATTCTAAAATCAACCCGGTGATGCCTGTAATATCCCACATGTGGAGTGCTGGAAGCTGATCAACCGTTAAAACGGTTAAATCCCAGGGTGTGTGAATCGCTTCTCAAGGAGTCTGTCTAAAGAACCAATAAAACAATGAACAATAATTTATAAACTGCCGTTGGACCAGCAACACGTAAGGAAACAAGACGGTCTCATGTGCCCCAAAAGCCACTTTTACAGGTAGGAAGGAATTGGGTATGAACACTTTGGATTCTATCGATAAATAACCACACTGGTGTCAAACCTCGGATCTTGCGTCAGATTCCGCTTAGCGTCTCTGGGAGCAAATACCCACCTTCATGTTTCCCAGACGCTTTGTCCTGTCCACAACCAGCAGTTTCTTAATGAGGTCTCTATTGAGAGAAAGAGAGAAGAAGCATTTGGACATCTTAATATCATTCGGGGCACCCGGAGCACAAGAGACAGAGATAAAAGTCTCCTAGGACGACCTCTGGGTTTGCACTGCAGCTTGATTTCTGCTTTGGCAAAACATTTTCTCTTCTCAGGCTTATTTCTTACCGTTGTCATTTCTGAAATAATTTATGCAACACTGGGTTGCCTCTGGAGTTGTGCAGAGCTAAGGGAAAAAGGCTGATTCATTCTCTGCAAAGAAAACACATGTTTTCCAGCCGGGAACAGTGTCTGTAACCCCAGCACTCTGAGCAACCGAGACAGGTGGATTGCTGAGCTCAGAAGTTCAAGACCAGCCTGAGTAAGAGCAAGATCCCATCTCTACTAAAAATAGAAAAATTATCTTCTTGAAATCATCTTTTGTTTGTATTTATAAATATTAGTTATCTATTTTTTGAGACTTTGGAAAAAAATTATAATAAGTTAATTGATGGCTCCATACTGAACCTCAGAGTCTAAGCATTCTATAATAGACATAGTCTTATCTGACAATGTGAATGTTACTTTCTTTGCATTACTGTTATTATTATTGCTTAATACTTTGTTGCAGCAATTGTCTGATTTCTTTTCTAAATGTATTTATCGTCACTCATTCTTTTTT